TAAACCAGGATTATAAAATAATATCGAAACTGTTGGCAAATAGACTTAGGATTGCAATGGATAAACTTATATCAAAGGAACAGTTTTGTGGTGTGCCTGGAAGATCTATAATCAATTGTAATAATGTAATTAGGGATGTTGTGTATTATGTGTCTGAGAATAATGTTCCTTCCTCCATGATAAACCTCGACTGGTCGAAAGCCTTTGACCGTGTTGATGTTCAGTTTGTATTAGAAATATTGGATAGGGTTGGAGTGGCACGAGAATTTATTGATTGGATCCGTATGCTTTATAAAGAGTGTCGGAGCAGCGTCTGTATCAATGGAGTCTTAAGTAAACCTTTTTCAGTTGAACTATCTGTACGTCAGGGATGTCCCCTTTCAATGATTTTGTATGTTATATTTCAAGAGCCACTGTACTTGGCAATAAAAAGCAATGACTTTATTGTTCCACCTCGTCTTCCTAATGCTATGACACTTCCTGTTGTTGGTTATGCAGATGATACAACTATTTTTGTGTCGACAGAAGACTCGGTGGTGAATGTTCAGAATGAGTTAGACAACTTTGAACGAGCGACAGGTGCTGTTATTAACAAGAACAAAACGTGTATGATGGGGCTTGACAGTTGGTGTAATAAGGTTAACTGGACAGGTTCATGGTTCAAGGTAGTGGAGTCTATTAAAGCTCTTGGGATTTGCTGGTGTAAAACATATGAAACAACATTGGTTACGAATTGGCAAGTACTATGTGGGAATATAATAGTTGCAACGAATATGTTGTCAAATAGGAAATTGACCCTGTTTCAGAAGGCTGTAATAATCAATTGCAAAATTTTGTCTAAAGTGTGGTATTTGTCTCACAGCTTTCCCATAGACAAGAAAAGTGCTATAGAGATTGACAAAACTATTTTTAGATATGTATGGTATGGTAGATACCAGCCAATTAAACGAACTACCCTATGTAAAGGTAAGAAAAACGGTGGAATAGGAATACTGAATGTGTACCATAAGTCATTGGCAATCTTATGTGTTACTTTTAGAAAGGAGATAATGCAGAGGGATAGTGTAAATGCACTAGGACATTACTATTGTAAATTACGTGTTAGCTACTTGATACGTATGCCAGAGTATACTGACCTTGCCTTTATTTCACCGCACTTTTGTTCATGTGCAATTGATGTTCTCAGGCGGATTTGTAATATTGAAGGTTTTTAACGATGAACAGTAAACAAGTGTATGATGTTATACTACCAAATATAGTTCCTAGAGTAGAGGAGGCATATCCACTCTTTAGCTGGCAAGTAATATGGGCAAACCTTCATGTTAAATTTATTGCCCCAAAACAACGTGAGCTGTTGTATCGCTATATTCATGAGACCCTTCCTACTAATGATAGGTTGTTGATGTTGGGCATTAATGACAACAATAGGTGTGACCAATGTACTGAAATTGAGAATAATATGCATATATTTTATTTCTGTAAGCAGAAAGTTGTTCTTGTAAACTGGATTAGAGACATTCTTAAAGATTTATGTGGACCAAGTATTAGAGTGGAGTTAATGAGGTTTTTAATGTTTCATATTGACATAAAATGCAAGAAAATTAGGAATACAATAATTATGTTACTTTCTGATTACATTTTTTGTGTGTGGATAGGCAGACAGGAAGGTTACTCAGTAGACAAAATATTGAAGTTCTTACGAGGCAGGATCAGGTATAACATTTGGGGTTTAAGGCTCATGCTCGGTGATGATATAGAAAATTGGTTTACTGAGGCTTATATAAAATATATATAAATGTAATATTTTCCCCTGTATTTTAATGTAAGTTTATTCTTCAATTTTTGTAACTCGTTTATAGGGGTTTTCTAAAAAATCTTGTTCTGTACTACTGAAACACTTGTTCACTAAGAATTGTAATGTATAATTACCTTGTAACATTTATGTATATGTAACTTATATTGTATTTTTTTAAATAAAGATAAAAAAAAAGTTTCCTCTTGAAAATGTCCACGGTTGTTCCGGCAATATTTCTTATGCTTGCTGGGAGGACGTTGAACAACCGCGGACCTCTGATGTTTATACAGTGTTTTCTGATTGCTCCTATGGCACCTCTGCTCTTCACTGGTTCTATTCTACATTTTCTTCCATATCGTTCACTCCAGTACGTTGTTATTTTACTGTGTAGATTTTTTACTTGGTCCTCCAGTATCTTCCAGGTGTATATTATTTGATATTTCTCTCGTCTTCTTTCTAGTGAGTATATTTGGAGGGCTTTGAGACGATCCCAATAATTTAGGTGCTTTATTGCGTCTATGCGTGCCGTATATGTTCTCTGTATTCCCTCTATTTCAGCAATCTCTCCTGCTCTGAAGGGGATAGTGAGTACTGAGCAGTACTCAAGACGGGACAACACAAGTGACTTGAAGAGTACAACCATTGTGATGGGATCTCTGGATTTGAAAGTTCTCGTAATCCATCCTATCATTTTTCTGGCTGACGCAATATTTGCTTGGTTATGCTTCCTAAACGTTAGGTCGTCAGACATCATTATTCCCAAATCCTTTGCATGCTGTTTTCCTACTATGGGTACATTTGATTGTGTTTTGTACCCTGTATTATGTTTAAGGTCCTCATTTTACCGTATCTGAGTACCTGGAATTATCACTGTTAAACATCATGTTATTTGCTGATGCCCAGTCGAAAACTTTATTAATATCAGCTTGAAGTTTTTCAATGTCTTCAGCCTACCGCAGTACACCACTACTCACCCTACCACCGTACACCACTACTCACCCTACCACCGTACACCACTACTCACCCTACCACCGTACACCACTACTCACCCTACCACCGTACACCACTACTCACCCTACCACCGTACACCACTACTCACCCTACCGCCGTACACCACTACTCACCCTACCACCGTACACCACTACTCACCCTACCACCGTACACCTCTACTCACCCTACCGCCGTACACCACTACTCACCCTACCGCAGTACACCACTACTCACCCTACCGTCGTACACCACTACTCACCCTACCGCAGTACACCACTACTCACCCTACCACCGTACACCACTACTCACCCTACCGCCGTACACCACTACTCACCCTACCACCGTACACCACTACTCACCCTACCGCCGTACACCACTACTCACCCTACCACCGTACACCACTACTCACCCTACCGCCGTACACCACTACTCACCCTACCACCGTACACTACTACTCACCCTACCGCCGTACACCACTACTCACCCTACCACCGTACACCACTACTCACCCTACCACCGTACACCACTACTCACCCTACCGCCGTACACCACTACTCCCACACCACCGTACACCACTACTCACCCTACCGCCGTACACCACTACTCACCCTACCACCGTACACCACTACTCACCCTACCGCCGTACACCACTACTCCCACACCACCGTACACCACTACTCACCCTACCGCCGTACACCACTACTCCCACACCACCGTACACCACTACTCACCCTACCACCGTACACCACTACTCACCCTACCACCGTACACCACTACTCACCCTACCGCCGTACACCACTACTCCCACACCATCGTACACCACTACTCACCCCACCGCAGTACACCACTACTCACCCTACCACCGTACACCACTACTCACCCTACCACCGTACACCACTACTCACCCTACCGCAGTACACCACTACTCACCCTACCGCCGTACACCACTACTCACCCTTCCGCCGTACACCACTACTCCCACACCACCGTACACCACTACTCACCCCACCGCCGTACACCACTACTCACCCTACCACCGTACACCACTACTCACCCTACCACCGTACACCACTACTCACCCTACCACCGTACACCACTACTCCCACACCACCGTACACCACTACTCACCCCACCGCCGTACACCACTACTCACCCTACCACCGTACACCACTACTCACCCTACCACCGTACACCACTACTCACCCTACCGCCGTACACCACTACTCCCACACCACCGTACACCACTACTCACCCCACCGCCGTACACCACTACTCCCACACCACCGTACACCACTACTCACCCTACCACCGTACACCACTACTCACCCTACCACCGTACACCACTACTCCCACACCACCGTACACCACTACTCACCCCACCGCCGTACACCACTACTCACCCTACCGCCGTACACCACTACTCCCACACCACCGTACACCACTACTCACCCTACCACCGTACACCACTACTCCCACACCACCGTACACCACTACTCCCACACCACCGTACACCACTACTCACCCTACCACCGTACACCACTACTCCCACACCACCGTACACCACTACTCACCCTACCACCGTACACCACTACTCACCCTACCACCGTACACCACTACTCCCACACCACCGTACACCACTACTCACCCCACCGCCGTACACCACTACTCACCCTACCGCCGTACACCACTACTCCCACACCACCGTACACCACTACTCACCCTACCGCCGTACACCACTACTCACCCTACCGCCGTACACCACTACTCACCCTACCGCCGTACACCACTACTCACCCTACCACCGTACACCACTACTCCCACACCACCGTACACCACTACTCACCCTACCGCCGTACACCACTACTCCCACACCACCGTACACCACTACTCACCCTACCACCGTACACCACTACTCACCCTACCACCGTACACCACTACTCACCCTACCACCGTACACCACTACTCACCCTACCGCCGTACACCACTACTCACCCTACCGCCGTACACCACTACTCACCCTACCGCCGTACACCACTACTCCCACACCACCGTACACCACTACTCACCCTACCGCCGTACACCACTACTCCCACACCACCGTACACCACTACTCACCCTACCACCGTACACCACTACTCACCCTACCACCGTACACCACTACTCACCCTACCACCGTACACCACTACTCACCCTACCGCCGTACACCACTACTCACCCTACCGCCGTACATGCTAATCTCGTGCTCCCAGACATTTTCATCTATGCCGTCGTCGAACTCGTCGTTGAAGATGAGGCAGGGGAATTCGAAGCAGTCATTGGGATCTATCACATCTGTGGGGGTCACAGGGCATCATATTATAGCCTTATCTTTGAAAAATATACAATATTTATATAATATAATAGGGAAAACAATACCAATATGGTCATCTTTTAAATTGGACGAACACTATCACATTATTTACGGCGCGGGAAAAGCAAAAATATTCACATAATTTGAAATTTACTTGAAAATGTTAAGCAAATCATAAATTATTTGGCATCAGTGTCGTGAAAATTTCATTGCAATATGTTAAAAAAGGGATTTTATACGAATTTAAGAAAAAAGTGCTGATAAGGAGAAGAGCTGCTATTAACTGGAACTAAAGGATAATGCAGTAATAGATGCAAACACCCGACCGACGCAAAGAAGAAGAAGAATAGTAAGGAAGGTCCCCAAAGTGGATCCGCAGTTGGTGCCTTTTCTAGCATTACTGAGGGATACATAGTGTAGGGTTGAGATGATACTGTGTGGGTCAGTGAGGACATGAGCAAGCCACTCCCGGGAAGCACCGGCATCCCTTTATTAATACCCATTCCTGATGCATACCAACAGTCGACACCCACCGACCTTCCTAACACCTGCCAACCCTCCCGACACCCACCGACCTTCCTAACACCTGCCAACCCTCCCGACACCCACCGACCTTCCTAACACCTGCCAACCCTCCCGACACCCACCGACCTTCCTAACACCTGCCAACCCTCCCGACACCCACCGACCTTCCTAACACCTGCCAACCCTCCCGACACCCACCGACCTTCCTAACACCTGCCAACCCTCCCGACACCCACCGACCTTCCTAACACCTGCCAACCCTCCCGACACCCACCGACCTTCCTAACACCTGCCAACCCTCCCGACACCCACCAGTGAGTGAGCGCATACTAGAGAATATGTCTTTTACTTTGAACTCATTTTGAATGGGATGCCGTGTGAACTAGCAATGGAAATCAAAACACATTTACAAGAGGGAGGTCTGAGCAGACAACAACAATGCCATGCTGTGCATCAGAGCGGCAGATCATGCTACAGTGGAGCCGAGGAACCGGCCGGCCGAGCGGACAGCACACTGGACTTTTGATCCTGTGGTCCCGGGTTCGATCCCGGGCGCCGGCGAGAAACAATGGGCAGAGTTTCTTTCACCCCTGTTACCTAGCAGTAAAATAGGTACCTGGGTGTTAGTAAGCTGTCACGGGTTGTTTCCTGGGGGTGGAGGCCTGGTCGAGGACCGGGCCGCGGGGACACTAAAGCCCCGAAATCATCTCAAGATAACAAGATCTCAAGATACATAATAACACGAATAATAATGAGTAAGAATGCTATTTCATATATTTTGTTATATATGTAATATATATAATCTGTTATTATATATAATATAAATAATCTGTTATTATCTATAATATAAATAATCTGTTATTATCTATAATATAAATAATCTGTTATTATATATAATATAAATAATCTGTTATTATATATAATATAAATAATCTGTTATTATATATAATATAAATAATCTGTTATTATCTATAATATAAATAATCTGTTATTATATATAATATAAATAATCTGTCCAATCTGTTATTTCCACCAATGTCAAACTTTTTTTTTGGGGGGGGGGGACTTTTTTTTTAATCTGATTTTGTTGTTGTTGTTTCTACATGTTGGAGAATGTGAACACGTTCCTGAGTATGTAAAGTTTGAGTGAGATTGGTCAACATGTTACTCAGCCACGTGTGGCACAAGTTGTCACTTACTTTGGTTTGTTGCCGATTTATTTACAGATTTCAAACTCTATTTTCTTTGTCTCTTTAGGTTGTAATGATGAATGGTGATCAGTTGCGGGCCTTATCACTTATATAAATAATACTTATTATCCTTATTAACCCATTATCCTTAACTCTGTCTTTTGTTTTTTGGGGTTATTTTTTCATTACTTCATTTCAACACATATTTACCTACAACTTTCACAGATTCGAGTACGAATGCCAACCAATGTTTATCAAAACATACGAGAACATTAATAAATTAGAACTACCATATTCGTTGTTATCTTCAATTATCTCTAAAACTGGAATTTCACCTTTGAGGCGGCTTCAAAAATGCAGTTTCTGACCGATTCTCACCATTGTTACACATGTGCATGATGGTCCCTTCTGCAATATTTATTATTTGTTTCTTTCATATACGCCAAACTTTCGGAGTTATAAATATTTGTCTAAATTTGGCGCTTATTAAAGTGCCACATTGACGATGTTTTTTACAGTAAACTCTACTGTAGTTTAAACTGCCAAACTAAATTCTAAATAATAAAAAGGAAAGTCTATGCTCTCTGGAACCATAATAACACCAAATGAACCATTTGTGAAATCTAATATTTTTAAACTCGATATGAAAACCTGAAATTATATAATTATTTAAATTAATTTTTGTTAATTGTTTGTGTGTTCATGTTACGATGATGATCTATTTGTAAAGGTTGGAGCATTTACCATGTAAATTAAGGAAATTTGTTTAAAAAGTTTGATCAAATTTAAAAACTCCTTTTCCCGGCCCTTTAATTCTTCCCGTAAGCTGATTTTATTGGAATACATTTTTAAACACATGGCAAGTTTCCGAAAATATATATTTAAATCCTCTATGTTTCCAGTGTATTAAAGAATTTGCTAGAAGATAGCTAACAGATAATCCTAGATTTTACATGTGACATGTTACCCGCCTTGAACACACATACATTACTGATCACTATAAGCGAGTACATCTTGTTTCATCATCGGACTCTGACTGAGTATGACACCTTGGTCAACGGGCTGAACTTCAACCACTGTCAAGCTCAAGCGTTATCGTACAGCTAATTAGTAACTAAATTCAAGAACAGACTATGGGTGGTCCTCAATGTAGCAGAGTCTGAAAGCTATTCAGTTGGTAGGAGCATACTATAGAGCAGCATACTATTGGGCAGCGTACTATTGGTCAGCATACTATTGGTCAGCATACTATTGGTCAGCATACTATTGGGCAGCATACTATTGAGCAGCATACTATTGGGTAGCGTACTATTGAGCAGCGTACTATTGGGCAGCATACTATAGAGCAGAGTACTATTGGGTAGCGTACTATTGGACAGCGTATTATTGGGCAGCATACTATTGGGCAGCATACTATTGGGCAGCATACTATTGGGCAGCGTATTATTGGGCAGCATACTATTGGGCAGCATACTATTGGGCAGCATACTATTGGGCAGCATACTATTGGGCAGCGTATTATTGGGCAGCATACTATTGGGCAGCATACTATTGGGCAGCATACTATTGGGCAGCATACTATTGGGCAGCGTATTATTGGGCAGCATACTATTGGGCAGCGTATTATTGGGCAGCGTATTATTGGGCAGCATACTATTGGGCAGCGTATTATTGGGCAGCATACTATTGGGCAGCATACTATTGGTCAGCATACTATTGGGCAGCGTATTATTGGGCAGCATACTATTGGGCAGCATACTATTGGGCAGCGTATTATTGGGCAGCATACTATTGGGCAGCATACTATTGGGCAGCGTATTATTGGGCAGCATACTATTGGGCAGCATACTATTGGGCAGCATACTATTGGGTAGCATACTATTGGGCAGCGTATTATTGGGCAGCGTATTATTGGGCAGCATACTATTGGGCAGCATACTATTGGGCAGCATACTATTGGGTAGCATACTATTGGGCAGCATACTATTGGGTAGCATACTATTGGGCAGCATACTATTGGGCAGCATACTATTGGGCAGCATACTATTGGGTAGCATACTATTGGGCATCGTATTATTGGGCAGCGTATTATTGGGCAGCATACTATTGGGCAGCATACTATTGGGCAGCATACTATTGGGTAGCATACTATTGGGCAGCATACTATTGGGCAGCATACTATTGGACATTGTACTATTGGGCAGCATACTATTGGGCAGCATACTATTGGGCAGCATACTATTGGGTAGCATACTATTGGGCAGCGTATTATTGGGCAGCATACTATTGGGCAGCATACTATTGGGCAGCATACTATTGGGCAGCATACTATTGGGCAGCATACTATTGGGCAGCATACTATTGGGCAGCGTGCTCGGCTCCTTGTTGTAAGTTAGGTTTTATGACCAAAGGGCTTGGCAAGAATGGAGGTTGGAATGGAGGCTTAATAAGTCAATATTGACTTATTAAATATGTGCATTGGTGACATACTTAACATAATAGATACCCTTAAAAAGATTCATAGAAAACACCGACCTTACCTAACCTACTTAGTATGTTAAGATAAGCATCTTATTGCTTCGTAATTACAATTATTACCTAATCTATAATAGGTATAGGTTAAGTAATAATTGTAATTACGAAGCAATAAGATGCTTATCTTAAGATACTAACAAGGTTAGGTAAGGTCGGTGTTTTATATGAATCTTTTTAAGGGTATCTATTATGTTTAGTATATCACCTATGCACGTAGTTAATAAGTCAATATTGACTTTACGAATTTGCGAGAACGGGTTGAGTATTGGGTGGCCGGTCCACTTGGCTTGGAACTCTGTGACTGGCAGTGGAGTCGGTGGTGAGTATCTCTGGTGGTGTTGCGAGGTGCGATGACAGGGAGGTGGAGGCAAGTGCCTCTCTCATTCAGTTCCACTGGAAAGGTCCATTGGTTCATTCACTGGAAAGGCGAAGAGTTAGGGGTGACATGATAGAGGTTTACAAGTGGATGAATGGACATAACCGGGGGGATATTAATAGGGTATTAAAAGTATCAACACAGGACAGAACACGAAACAATGGGTATAAATTGGATAAGTTTAGATTTAGGAAAGACTTGGGTAAATACTGGTTCAGTAACAGGGTTGTTGATTTGTGGAACCAATTGCCGCGTAACATTGTGGAGGTGGGGTCCCTCGATTGTTTCAAGCACGGGTTGGACAAGTATATGAGTGGGATTGGGTGGTTATAGAATAGGAGCTGCCTCATGTGGG